GGTGCGACGAAGATGCGACGTAGATACGACAGATTTTTTTCTTATATAATTCTATGAAAAACAACACATCGTAAGTGAATCTCAGTTGAGTGTCCCACACAGCGAAATTTTTTGTGATGTGGACCGACGATCAATTACGCTTACTAATCGACCTGAGAAAAAATCAAAATCCCGAGTATCATGACATTCCCGGTAGCAGTAGGTTGATTTCTGGAATAGTATTGCAAATACAATCAACGAACGATATCAATGTAAGAATAGATTTTTAGTACCGAAGGTATAATATTCGACGAATTAGGTCATTTACTCCTTCGAGTATTGGAAAATTTACCGATAGACTATTAAAGAAAGAGGTAGAATTCTTTTTGCTCCACAAAGTGAAGATCGGGTAAATGAGAACGAAATTCAATCAGAACATAATTTAAATGAGTCTAATTATGAAGAAATGTTGATCAATTAACTATTGTCATAGAACTAAAATATAGATTTTAAATACTAATAAATGTTCGTACAAGAGAGTAATCTCATGTGATCACTTTGCATCGATATCAGCGGAGCTGGTACGGCCAAAACATAATCTATTACTTATCCAACCATACTTCAACCTGTGGCTCTTAATTTATTATTGTTATAAGCGGGTACATCACGTTATGATAGGAGGTTACACGACAGGTTGAAGTTTCTCACATACATAAATTGCCTCATGCCTGACTAAAACTCAGTTATTTTCTAAAATGAGCTATACGGAAAAATTTCCTGGCTACACGGGCAAGTATCGTAATAAAGGTTAGAAAAGAGCTTTCAGGTATTAATCATTGTTCCACTTGTTCTACTTTTAGCTCTTATGGACTATTTGAACGAGCGCGACCCAAGTCTTTGGTCATAGGTAGATTTTTTAACTACAAATCGTACCGTTATTGTAAATTCACTACCGCATTTGGTTGATCATAAAGGCCTTGATGGCGCGTGGACCAAACGATTCATACTATCTATAAAAGGTTTGAGTTCAGACTTAGTTGGTGACATGGAAAGGAAGGTATTTTTTTCGTTTAATTTGACGGAAAGGAATTTCCTTGACAGGTATTACCTGCGCTTGGATAACCAGAAATTTTCTGATCCGAGTGATGGTGTGAGGCAACTCCTTGACAGGTATTACCTGCGCTTGGAGCATCAGAAATTTTCTGGTCCCACCATTGCGAACCGTCCTGTTTTGTTTTATTTTGGTTTGTTGAGGTGACGGAATGATGACAATGAATCTCAATCATCTACTTTATTTACTCTATTTTGACAAGATGAACCTGGAGCGTACCAAAAGTGACTTGGATTCTTTTTGGCAAGAGGTGATCATTGAGCGATTACAGGTAAGGATATCATAGAGAATTTTTTTTAATCTCATTTATGCATTTTTCCTGAAAGGAATCTTATATACATGTAAATTATCATAATAGCGCAAAGTCCAAAGCACCTACGATAAGGAAACCCTTCTTACGTTTGATGAGTCAGGTAAACATTATGGAGAGCAACTGCGCATACCTTACAAAAAAGAAGAGGGCAAGGAGGAGGAAACATCTTCGGGTTGTAAACGTTCCAATAGCACTTTAGATTCAGATTCAACTTCCCCTGTGGAGACAAAGAAGGTTAGCATTGAATGTTTTGCAAATAATCCCGCAAAAACGTCTTCTCACCTTTTTTATATTTCTGATGTGCACAGATCAGACCCGGTAAAGATGTGAATGTTGAGGAAGCTAACAATGATGATGTTGTAAAAATGACTTCGATTGCGTATCAGCAATTTACGGATAAATATCGAAAATTAAAGAAGAAGATAAATGGACTTTGTCAACTGAAAAAATTGTTGAAGATGCATTATATGCATTTGGAATGAAGTGCTCACATGAACAGTAAGCATTTACTCGTTGCTTTTATGTATTTTTTTCTGCAATTTAATGATGATTTTGTTTTTTTTACTCTATGAAAGTCTCTGTCATTCTTTTTTAATCGACCCGGATGACAAGAACTATATACAACAAGGCATCTTCACGCCTGAGGAATTAAAAGAAATTCAAAATTTTAGTAAGAAAAAATTGCCATCAATGCCGGATGATCTTTTGAAGTATCTTAATAGTTTCCGAAAGGTGAGTATTTCTTCATAAACGTTCTTCACACACATTATGTAACTTACTTAGACAATGTATTAAATAGTCCAATACTTCTGACCTGCGAGAATTGATCTTTCGCTCTGATTTACATGACCAACTATTCGATCGATCAAAAAATTTCGATTATGACTGGATACGTAACACTACATATAATCTGTAAGTGTAAAGTTATTTTGATTATGTCATATTGTTATACACATGATTTTTAAGGATGTTGTTATAATGATAGCGTGCTTGAATATGAAGCGAATCATCTCGCAAAGGATCACCTTGAAACTTGGATCATGCTACATGTGTGGTCGTTTATTGATAAAATCTTTTTAGACATAGATGGCATGGAAATTGTTAGGTAAGCTTTTTTCTAGAGAAAACATTTTCCCGCTATTATAAATTTAGTTAATTATCTTCTTTGTGACAGAGGTGAATCATGTAGCTATGCATCGTCAAATAGAAAAAATTCACAACGGGTGGTTGCATCAACAGGTTCAATGAAAAAAAAGGCAATGGGTCGGCGTGGAGATTTAATAATCCGGAAATGGCATACGGAATATGGGTGTGGTGAAGCTGGAAAAATATTCGAAGGCATCAATGGTACAAAGATCATTAAAGAAGGGGGTTTGAAAATGCCCAAAATGCTTAGAGATATGTTCAATGACCTTTGCGAAACTATGAAAATGCGGAAGGATAAAATCAGAAAGCTAGAAACAGTCGGTTTTATCATCTCGGGTATGTATAAGCTTTTACATTTGCTAATTCTTGATTCGTATAACTCAGTTTTATCATTTTAGGCTTGAAGATCTCATTGTTACGGTTAGATTTACCAGCGGGACATGTTTGTAGATTGTCACGGACACGACTTTTTGAGATACCAACTCAGGTCTCTGAATTTGGTGCAAAAGTCCTTCCAACAATGAGCTTGATATGGAAGGCAAAGGTAAGTGTCGTTTTAGGTATTTATAATTTGTCTTAATTCGTTTATTTTTTTTAAACTTTTTTAAAGGCAATAGTGAAAAATGTAATCAAACTAATGGAGGAAGAAGATCTGACGGAAGAAGAACAGCTCAAAATGCTACAGAACTGTGATGAAGTTGATGAAAGTGGTTTAACGACACCGCCACCTAGATTGCAATTACTGTCAAGTTCTGTGACGCCAGAAAATAAACGAAAGAGTAGAAATGACGAAAAGTGAAGGCAATGTTCATCATCACTATTTCAAACCGCTGAAAATTTTTATTGTGATTGGGATCTTGAGGTTACATTATTATCAAAAATTAATAAAATGTACCCACACAGTTGAGCTCCTGATTTTTAACATGTGTATGCGTGGTGTATACGTGCACCGGAAAAATATATGCCGATTTTTGGTTAAGTATTTATCAATATTGATATACCACTTAATCAGGCGATCGTAATAAATCGACGTAACCCACTTCCACTAATAATGTCAAGTAGTTCGGCGCCAACCGATTCTCGAGATTTAAATTGCAGAATATAAACAGATTTCATAGGGGGACATTCGTGTGATTGGCTGATTTTCTTAAGATCTACATCGTAAGATCGATTATACAAATTTAGTAA